GGCGACTTTAGGGAGTGCGCCATGAGCGACTTATACATGATACTGTGTATAACCCCCCCTCAAACTCAAATAGGTGTGAAGATAGAAACCTATTTGAGGTTGAAAAGGGATTGATAAAGCTGACCGGTGTAAAAGACACTGTATGAGTGTGTATATAGGCTGCCCAAAAGATATACATGGATGTAGATATCGAGCCCTCAAAAGTCGTGCCCTCAAAAGGTGTGCCCGCATCCTCAAAAGGCGTGCCATCAAAAGGCGTGCTCGATGCATCAAAAGGCGTGCCAGATATGATGGCGAGGCACGTGAGTGCCTTGGCTGGCACGCCCGTTTGTCGTCTGTCGGCAAGAGGCGCGCGAGGCGCGTGGCTGCCTCGGCTATTTAACCAAGACGGAGGCTGAGGCTGAGGCAGAAGCTGAGATAGAAAAACTGAGAGAAACCTCTGAAAAATTCTTCGTTTTGCTGAGTGAGAGACTCTGTAACACTTGCCCAGAAAATGGCTTCGTCTTCCTCTTCTTCCCGTGGTCTGCTTACTCTCTTTCCCGAACTGAACGAGTCAACAAGAGAGAGAACTGGTGTGGAGACCAGTGAACCTCAACCAAACACCTCTGTGTTTGCTCCGTTGAACTTTCCGATGCGGTCGGTGGAGCAAAAAATGGCGGTGCAGTCAGATGTGGAGGCCAATCAGTATACCTTGAAGTCATGTGTGGAAACTATGACGGCGGTTACAAATTTGTCGAACCGGCTGCAGAGGAGGACAAATGAGGTGCAGCATTTAAACTCCCAGCTGGCTCTGCTCCAACGCATGTATAAGGATGCGCGAGCAGAGATAAGCGTGCTAAGGGCAGAAAACAAAGAGCTGAAGCGGAAGGCCACCGTGATGTTCCGATTTGGAGGTCCGCCATATGCTGCAGTGGAGGAGTATGGGGGAGTGAACGTGCTCGGTGGACAAGGAAACACGGAGACCGGACTGGCACGGGATACCCAAGATAAAAGTAAGAAGAAGAGACCTGCAGTAGAATAGAGAAGGGAAAAGAAAAATCCCACTGTGGGTGTGGGTGTGGTTGTTTTTTTTTTTTTTTTTTTTTTTTTTTTTTTTTTTGTGTGTAAAATGGGGATCGGGGTGAGGCCCGATATAAATAAAATGAGTTTGCAGTTCGTCTTCTTCCTCTGGTTGTTTTTGTTGTTGTTGTTGTTGTTTTTTTTTTTTTTTTTGTTTTTTTTTTTTTTGCATACGTTATGAATTTTAAACTGTACAAAAGTTTTACAAAAATATGAGGACATCCCCCAAAGCATCCTGTACAGTGGGTTTTCAAAAACGAATAAAAATAAAAAAGTGAAAAGCAAAAATCCTAAGGCTATGGCAAGTGGAACCTAGTCATCATCATCATCATCCTACCTACTGCTACCAGACTTATAGTCATCATCTGCACCACTGGTTAGTTAGTTTGGTTTTTTTTTTTTTTTGTTTTTTTTTTTTTTTTGTTTTTTTTTTTTTTTGAATAAAATAAATAAATAAATAAAGAAAATAAAATAAAAAAAAAACAGAAAGTGGAGCAACGTGGGGGTGAGGTGCAAAAGTGATGATAATGGTTTGTGAGTGGAGAATAAAGAAATGAAAAGAAAGGGGTTCTGTGGTGTGGGTTGTGGTAAAAGGGAAAAAAAAATAAAAAAATAACACCATCACGTTTCAAGCCCACCACCATCATTTTGAAAATGCCTCGTTATGATGATCACTCTGGCAATATTCAGATTTTTTTTTTTTTTGTTTTTTTTATTTTAATGACGAAAAATAAAATAGAATAAAGAAAAGGAAAGTGGGGTGTGGATGGGGGTATAATATTTGAGAATGATTATGAAAAAAATATTCAGATTTTTTTTTTTTTTGTTTTTTTTATTTTAATGACGAAAAATAAAATAGAATAAAGAAAAGGAAAGTGGGGTGTGGATGAGGGGGTATAATATTTGAGAATGATTATGAAAAATAAAATAAAAAAAAGGAAAAGGAAAGTGGGGCGGTGGCTGCCAGTGCTGATGACGAAGATCTGTTGCCGGTGATGGCTAATAAATTGGGAGGAGAGGGTCTGATAAGGGAGCTGTGTAATGGGTTTGGGCTTTTGCTGGACAGAGACAGAGGTCTCATCACGTTCGAGGGCTGGAAGAAGAACTCTGCTCTTCTTGGGTTACAGGACTGGAGCGATGACGAGCTTCTGAGTATGGTCAGAGAAGGTGACGTGGACGGTGATGGGGCTCTCAATCAGATGGAGTTTTGTGTTTTGATGTTCAGATTGAGTCCTGATTTGATGGACGAATCTGAGGCATGGCTTGATCGAGTTCTGGAATTGGAGCTCGGGACTGGTTGGTTCGATGATGAGGTGCTGGTTGCGCCGCCGTCAACGGCGGTGGTGGGCGGCGAAGGATAGGGCTTTTGGAGGTTTTGCTCTGGCGAGGTATGTGTAAAAAAAATCTTAGCGGACTAGGTTGAGGTCCGGCGGACGGCTAAGGTGAGGTTGCCGCCCGCCGGTGAAGCGAAAATATTAGGTTCTAAACCTGCTCTGATACCATGTAGAAATTTAATGTATAAAGAGAAAAAGAGAATTGTATTATTGATTGATGTTTGTAATTGTTATCTTGTATTACAAATCAGAGTGACATTATATAGGAGAGGGTTTGGGTAGTAGGTGAGGAGTAGTGGAGTGTAGTAGGTGAGTGTGAGTAGTGGAGTGTAGTAGGTGAGTGTGAATGGTAAATTCTAACAGGTTTTGTAGTGCATTTTGTAGTGCACCAAAAAGAAAAAAAAAAATACTTAAGTAGAAGCAGAAGCAGAAGCAGAAGCAGAAGTATAAATGGAGAAAGAAGAAACATATAATGCCCCATATTTTATAAAACCTGGTTGGATTGAATTAATTATGGGGTTGTTTGGAAATATGGGTTTGAGGCTAAAATAGTCTCAAATTAAAAAAAAGCCAAAACACTCCTAAACCAACTATTTTTATTAAATAAAAATAAAAAAAAATAGGACTGCCGTGCCTACACTGTCCCTGCTAAATTACAATTTTGCTCCTTTACATCATTTTTGGAAAATGTGATCTTAGGAATAAATTTGTCATTTTAATTTCAAATATCATTTCAACACATTTTTTAATAAAACAACTTAAATAAAAATTCATTCCATCTTTCCAAATACAAAAACTAAAATAACTTACTAAAATAGTTAAAAAGTCAAAAAGTCTTTAAAATAGTCACTCCCCAAACGAGGGTTATATATTCATTGTTCATTCCAAAATCCAACTAAATTATACATGCAGAAGCCAATAATTATCTCATGATTTAATGACAATCATAAATGAAATAAATATATTTTTCATTGTATTTCATTTCACTGTATTTTTTGAGATTTTATAAAAGGGATTACATGTAATTACACATTCATAACTCTAAAACCTAAATCTATAGTATGTAATGAACTATTACAAGGTTTTGTAGATATTCAACTTAAATGCCCTAAAGGTTTACATATTTCAAGGATTAGAACGCTATTACAAAAAGATGTAGTCTCTACTCCAAACATATAAGGCAATGCTTTACATAGAAATAAACAAAATAAAACGAGCCTTTGTGCTCCAAAAACATCTCAAGCCTTCAACGAAGTAGAGGCATGTTAACAGTATCTGAAAAATGATTTCCATCGAGGGATGAGTACTAACGCCCAACAGAGATAATATTAACGATGTATATATATACACATTAATATGATTATGATCATTAATGCAATGCGATGCCATTTTATGTCAAAAGGTTTTCATTTTCATGAGTACGGATAACCATGCAAGTTTTTCAAAAATAATCCAAGTTCCACCAATTTCCAATTTTAGCAATTATTAAATCATAAATAATATACTGGTAATCCCTAGGTATCTGTTTGCAACTAGCCTATCAAAAAACTACCAAAATATCCCACATTTTGTAGCTATTAACTAGTAGGGCAATTGGACACCTACTCTGTGCATGTTTCCAAACTTTCGTTGGGGATCTCAAGCTAACTTAATTCTCTTCACAAATATTTTCTGCACATCCTAAATTTTACCACGTTATTTACTTTAATAATCAAACTAAGCTCAATTTTTTCAAAATAGACCCAACGACAATTTCTCAAAGGAGGTGATAGTACAATTAGCAAATGTAAAAAAAATAAAGAAAAGAAAATGTCAATGCAATGCATGATTTGCAAATGATTTCAATGTTCCTAGTTTCTAATTCAATTTTACAACAATGCAGTCATCCATCGATTGCCAAAAATAATTATTTCTATCAAAAGTATTCCTTCAAGGCAATACAAGAGAATAACTAACAAAATCTCAATATTTCCAAGATAAATTCAAAATTTCTATGGTACTCATCAATTCCTTAATACACAATCCATATCTTCAATCCCAACATTTCTAGGGTTTTGGAAAAATTTAAGGCTTTTTCAATTTAAGTACTTTGAAATCCAAACAAGATATATCATCTTGAAAATATAAATTTTTAGGATTTAAGAAAAGGCGAGCAAGCCCCAATTTTATATCATATAAATCATAAAAATTCTCTATTTCTCCAAATAATCATAACTAGCAAAGTACCACATAATCATGATGAAGCAAATATACAAAACTATTAAAATCCATACATCAAATTAGGGAGACAGATAGAAGAAGCTCAAAATTTCAGAATTGTTCCATCGACGATCGTCTCTGATAGAAACAATGCCCTAGATGTGTTCTAAACTTTTGATCAAATAAGCAATGTGAGATTCTAACTTTAAATGGGGTTGAAGGATTTGTATAGTTTGGGTGTATTTTTAAAGAGAGAGAGAAGAGAGAGAGAGAGAGAGAGAGAGAGAGAAGAAAGGAAAGTGAGAGGAAAAGAGGAAAAAGACTGACTTAAACTTTTCTCGTCAAAGTGATTGATTGCTCCACCAAGAGCGATTGATCATTCATAAACGAGTCGATCCCTTATCAGTCACTATATTTTGCTGAAAATTCACCCAAAATAAATAGACTTAGTGATCAATCGCACCACCAAGAGTGATCGATCACCCTTCAATCTCCACATACTGTTTAAATTCGACCAAAAATAAAATTGAAGAATGAACAGTCGCTTCTAAATATGATCGATCGTTAACCCAAAATTTTGTTCACAATGGCTCGAACGCACCTTCAACCAAGCCAAAAACTCAAAATAAAAGGTAAGAAGATAAGGAAATCAAATCCCAAAATGCATGGATGATAGGTAAGTCAAATGATTCCATACAAGTAACCCTCTCTGCCATAACCACCTCACCACCATGACCCCAACAACCCTTCTCCTCCTCCTCTTTCTTCTTTTTCTCAATCATGCGAGTTACGTAATCTCTTTCTCAATCTCTCACATGATCGAGGAGGTTAGGGTTTCATAGTATTTACAATAGAGGCCAGACTGGCAAAAGAGTTAAGCAACATCGTAGAGATAAGGAGGGCTTGGTGTAAGCCCTAGATCTAGGGTTTCTAGATTGCGACGCAAAAGAAGAAGGGGCCTGAAGAGGAAGATGGTTGTGTGACTAGGAACAAGGGCTAGTGGTGGTGCAAGGGTGGTTGTGGGGGTTGTCGAAATTGGAGTTAATGGCAAACAAGGCGAAGGAGAAGGAAAATGGGAAGAAAAAATAAACAAAAGAGAAAATGGTTGCAATAGAGTTTCATAAAAGAAGTCTTATTTGTTACTCTTTTTTTTTTATTTTTTTTTTTTTTTTTTTAAATGTTGTATGCACCAAATCCAAAATGACTACAAAGGAACCACACATAATTCCCTGAATTGAACTTCTCAACAGATACACAAAATGAAATATCTATTTATCTATCTATACTATCTATCCATAGTGGGAAATTCTATAGTATACACCTATAGATACCCTATTTTTGACTAGCCATAATACTTGGGCGTTCTCTTGTGAGTTCCCAGTGATGAAGACAAGATGTCTTAATCTTACAAGTTTTACAAGAAGAAACCTAAGGGTCAAGCTTTAAACTATACAAATGCCTATTTCGAACAAAATGTTTTTCAACCAAAATCGAATCCTCTTTCAAAATGAGTTTAGTGGTGCAATTTCAAACATTACTACAGTGTTCTGAGGCTCGTATTTTTAAAATCAAAGCGTTGTATTATTTAAAACAAACTGAGCAAAGGACATAACTAGAATGAATGAAAGGTGTGAAATCCTCTAAAACACCTATTTTTCCTCTCAGTCCAGGCTAACTCTACCTGGTTGATCTGATTGTGTATTCTTTGACTGTCCAGACACCATATGTTGGTCGGTCAAAAATGCATGCTGCCGGACACCAAAGGAAATTACCGGCTGAAAGTTTTGGGTACAGAGCATTTTTGGGAATTTCAGTTTGTCCAGTACACTTTTCACAAATATCTTAGATATTTACACCCCGAGCTCTATAAATAGAGCTCGACAGCTCATTCTAAAGGGTTGAAATTTTGCCCAAGGCTCATTAGAGCCTCTTGACCTCTCTCTCTCTCTTGATCTCACCTCCTACCCATCACCCATTAAATTTAAACACTAAAGCTCCATTGAAGCTTGATCCTAAGCTTCTTGCTAAGACTCTTGGACATTAAACACCACATCTAAAGTGACTTAAGAGAATTAAAAATGGGTTTGTGAATCAAAAGAACCTATCCTCTTTAAGAGGTGATATTTTCACACCTTTAACCTTTTTTCTCCCTTAATTCAAGCTTTGCTTTCACTATGTAACTGTTGTAGAAATGTAACAAGTCCTCATGGATGTGGAAGGAGTAGATTTAGCCATCCATACATTGAGTTAATAGCTTTTCCTTAGCTCTAACATCTAGTTCTTATAAATTTTGGACCCTTATGGAGTAGCTATTAGCCATCTATTTACAAGTTTAATAAATAAAGTAGTTTTTCTTGTTGTTACACTATTCCTCTTTACATATCCTATCTCTTAAGTGTATTAATTCATGTGTTTCAACCTATACTCAAAGATAATGAGTAGAATAGTCGTTTTATAGGATTACTTGAGTGATTCTTGGGATTTGATGTTGAAAGAGTTGTGTTCTCTTTCTTTTTGTTTGTTTTTGGAAGTGAAAACAAGATATTTTGGGTCAAAAAGTATTGAAATATCCTTTCTCAATCATTTGTGAACATAAAAAAGGGTAGAAACATCCTTGTTCTATGACTAGATGAGGAGTTTGCAATGGCTTTGATGAATCCCTTGTTTTGAAAACAAAGCTTCCACAAAGAAATGATATGCATTAATCTACGCTCTCCACTTAATAGCATGGATTTGAGTATTAATTTGACTTTATTCACAAAGAGAAGATGTATGTTCCTATCATTTTCTTGAGCTTGAATTTGTTCTTGTTTTAATCCTTTTGATTCATTAATTTTTAGCACAATATCTATTGTATATATTTGTTGTAGTGGAAAAGGGAGAATGGATGAATACCCCTTTAAAAGTGTACTTGGCTCCTGTTCTGGAATCCTTGTGTAAATCCAGATTCTGCTCAAATAAGAGGTTCAAATGGCCTATATTCT